CTCCAGTCAGAGTTTTCTAGGAAGGCAATGCCCTTCTTCCAAACCATTACCAGTAAAGCCTGCGATCGTTCACCAGATCAAAAGCTAGGGCTGGCTTACCTATGCAAAGCAGGGCTGTTACTTGAGGAAGGGTTAATGAGCCACTAACCAGCCTCTGAACCTGCTCAGATGCACTTGGATGGAGTAAGAACCTCCAAATTGTCTGAATATTTGCTTGATCCAAAACTGGATTAAGGAGAGCAATTTTTGATCAAAGACAGCCTGAAGGAGAAACGCCATCTATAGCCTGGCATTTCCTTCAGTGAGACAGGACAGACCTTTCCAAACCCAGAGATTTCAGCCCATCAGCTGCCAGCTGCAGTTTGCTGCCAGCGGGAAGAAAACCCACCCAGCCGTAGCTGCAACCCGGGTACAGCTGCCACAGGGGCCCACAGACTTCTCCGGAGTATCTGGAAGCGGTTACGTACTCAGCATCGGTGTCCCATGTCATTATCACTTTGCATGTGTAACGCATCCTCTGTTGCCTGCTGCAGCGCTGGAGGAACCAGGAGCACAAATATCTGGTCCCATCATTGAATAGCGTTAGGTTATGTGATTGACAGCTCATCGCTGTGGATGTGAAGGAGCAGAGGCACCATGCCAGGCAGGGGATCTCCCATAACCCCACCAGAGCTGGCTGAACCCCTGACGGAGCTGCTCCCAGGGCTGTCACGGGGAGCCACCAGCCCCACAGTCAATGGGAGAAGCTCCCCATCAGCTCGCAGGCGGAGGGGGTTGCTGCCTGCAGGGGCTTGGGGCTCACGAGGGGGATGGCTGGCACCATGTTTTCTGTCTGCATTGATCAGCATGGCTGATGTATGTGTGTCTGCATGTCTGTCTGTCTATGGGACTACATGCTCAGCCTTGCTGCCGGCTGGACACGGGTGCCCGGAGCCATGGCAGCCTGGCCTGATCCAGCAATAGCTCTTTTCCACTATTACACTGAACCTATGTTTCTTTCACAGCTATAGACACCCGATCCAGCTCCATCCGAAAGCTGTAGCAGAGCTGGGCTCACACCCACGGCTGCTTTAACGTGCTGCGCAGTTCCCACTCCCAAATTTTAATCCCTACTAGCACTGTGCTGCAGGGATTGACCACCTGGGGTCAGCACCAGCTGAATTTCAGAGCTTATCCTGTTTTCTAGCATAGACATGCTCTAGAAGAGCCAGAAATGGGAAGGTGAAAGCTCCGCTGTACCCAAGTGGACGTAAAGAAAGTTGTACCAAGTCTGTCCCAACCCCTTTTTATCCTTTCTCGTCTCTAGCAGATGCAAGAGATGCACCCTACTGCCTGTTTGGGGAAGGAGGCGTTGTGATGTGGAATGGATTAGGAACGAGGGGGAATTATGCTGGCCAGACTGAGATAACACCACTCCTGGAAGCACGTGGCCAGTTAGACAACACTCAAAATAACGTTTCTGCTGCTGGGCTGAGGTCAAGGGAGCTTCCAGAACTGTGGAGGGGGAGCCCAGAGATACTTCTCTGTGTACTACAGAGCCATGGCTTTAGACGAAGAGTTTGCCCCTGTTGCAAATGCTAAATCACTGCTGGCCAGAAATTACTTTTAACAAGGCCTTTTTGAATTTAGACTGGTTTACATAAAAAAAAAAATTAGCTTCATAAAAAAAGGAAGAGGTAGCCAGATTAGAAAGTAAATTTCAAGATTGCTTCCTGTTGTTTTACATATGGACTGCACTTCTTGTTGCTTTCCTGACAGCACAGCAGGGAAGGAAAGAGCACCGAGGCACTACAGCTCGCAGCAGCACATGGATCCATGCAGCCACCCAGAGAGG